GTTGTGTCTGACTCTGGGAGATGGTGCTCATCTCCATTTCTAAGCTGAAGAGCTGGCGTTGTCCATAGACACCTCCAAGGTCATGTGGACGGCATAACTGAACGGAGTGATGTTGCCTTCCCAGAGAAGCGGTACTTATTTATCTACTCACACTTGCATGTTTTCAAACTGCTAGGTTGGAGGAAGCCGGGGCTAATAGCAGGAGCTCACCCTGCTCCCTGGATTCAAACCACCAACATTTCGGTCAGCAAATTCAGCAGCTCAGTGGTTTAACCCACTGTGCCACCAAGGGGCCCAAATTGTAGTTTGGTGTAATATCTCAACTTGAACACACTATGTTTAATGTTAAATGTGGTTTACTGAAGCAAGCTTAATAAGCCATTGTCGCAGCTGGCTCATTTCAGTGAGTAAACCCAACTGTGGTTTGTCTCAACTCAAACATACTTTTGAAATATGCATAATTTAGAAAATAGAAACGAAAACCTTCAACCTGCTTGCAGCTGTGCCAGCGGGAGGGGGTTATGATCTTCTTAATCACGTAATGATGTTTGGTTTGGAATGCAGTGAAACAGACAGATTTCAAACAGATTTTGTAATATGACTGCACCTTTGGATGTTTTTAAGCTGCATGATGTCCCTTTCCAGATTTGGACACTTAAGTAGACGTTTCCCACAAATTCTCATGCTTTGCTCATAGCAAAAGGGGCTAGAAATTAAAGAGAGGGAGAAGTTTATGAACTTTGGAATTTTACATATAAATTATTGAGTTTATGTTATCGCTACCCTCATCATTGGCTGATGTTTGCAATCCTCCCTTCCTCCTCTTTGGTTTTATCTGCTTTGAAGAGCAAAATGAAGCTTTTTATGTTAATTCTAGTGTCCTTGGTTGTATGGTACAAATTCGTGGAATTTTAAGTTTGCTCAGCACTTCTTTTTAAAAAAGACTGTAAAGCTTTTAAAGCTGGGATCTGTTCTGTTTAATTTTGTAACATACCATGTGGATTAATGATGAAACATAAACAACGGGGATGATTATTAATACGTCTGTGGGACTGTTGTAGTTTTCCAGCTGAGATTCAGAGGAGAACTTTTGGCTCATTCCTTAGACATGACAACTTTGTGTCTGCAAAGGTTGTGGAAAATATGCAAGGGCTATATGGACCATTATTAAGGTAGGTTATATTCTGGGTTGGTGCAGTAGTTGGTTGGGGAAATATTAAGAAATTGACACAGATACCTCTAAAATAGTGTTGGGGGATAGCTATAGGGCAGTTACTAGGTTTGTTTGGTTCAAAACTTGTTTCGGATGTAGGGGGCGCTGGTGGTTCGGATCTAAAGTCAATTCCGATTTTCACAGAAAAAAATGTTCAAAACTTTTCAAAACTTCCGAGACTTCTGAATCCTTCGTTAATGGTTTCAAAGTGTTATTTCCTATTTCATTGGGTGATCTTTACTTTGAAAGTAGTTGTTTTATTCCAGAAGGGGAGAGCAAGGAGAAGAAATCCATCCACTCTGGTTTAAACTGCTTCTCTCGCCCAAGGCTGACGTGGGAGGGAAAGGAAACCGAAGGGAATCCATCCAAACTGGGTTAAACTGCTTCTCTCGCCCAAGACTGACACGGGAGGGAAAGGAAACGAAGGGAATCCATCCACTCTGGTTTAAACTGCTTCTCTCGCCCAAGGCTGACGTGGGAGGGAAAGGAAACCGAAGGGAATCCATCCAAACTGGGTTAAACTGCTTCTCTCGCCCAAGACTGACACGGGAGGGAAAGGAAACGAAGGGAATCCATCCACTCTGGTTTAAACTGCTTCTCTCGCCCAAGGCTGACGTGGGAGGGAAAGGAAACCGAAGGGAATCCATCCACTGGGTTAAACTGCTTCTTTCGCCCAAGACTGACACGGGAGGGAAAGGAAACGAAGGGAATCCATCCAAACTAGGTTAAACTGCTTCTCTCGCCCAAGACTGATGTGGGAGGGAAAGGAAACCGAAGGGTATCCATCCAAACTGGGTTAAACTGCTTCTCTCACTCAAGACTGACTTGGGAGGGAAAGGAAACCGAAGGGTATCCATCCAAACTGGGTTAAACTGCTTCTCTCACTCAAGACTGACTTGGGAGGGAAAGGAAACCGAAGGGTATCCATCCAAACTGGGTTAAACTGCTTCTCTCGCTCAAGACTGACTTGGGAGGGAAAGGAAATGAAGGGAATCCATCCACACTATTTTGAAAAGCTGAATAATTTCCGACTCACGTACTGATTCGTAAGAGAAATGGCAGAAAAAGCTTTGGAAGGGCAAAAGGACTTTCGGTTTCCTTAAAAACTTCGAAATCGCTTCAAAAAGGAAATCTTTCCAAATTTATTCGAATTACGAAGATTCCCACCGAACCTAACCATGCCTAGCAATTACTGCTGGCTGCCCTGATACCGTGGACATCTGGGCAATAGATGGTACTATTGGTTGATATGAAAAACACCAAAGGGGTACCTTAGAAAGGAAAAACTGCTTCTTTATCTTAAAATATGGCTACTGCTTCATGCAACTTCAGAATGTGGATAAATGTGAAGAGCTGAAAGTACTGGAATTACAGGCAGCCTGGATAGTGCTGAGTATAGGCCACTTTTCGTAGAACCATAGAGTTGGAAGAGATCACAAGGGCCATCCAGTCCAACCCTTTGCCATACAAGAACACACAATCAGAGCACCCCTGACAGATTTATTTATTTATTTATTTACTGCACTTGTAGACCGCCGTTCTCAGCCCTAGGGCGACTCACGGCGGTGTACAACATATAAAAAACAATTTACAATAAAGGCAATATCACAAACCACAATAACAACATCACTACCAATAATACAATTACACTAAATCATTCGCGACGTCTCATCATAGAATCACAATCCAATCTCGTTATCCATATTCCGTTCCAATCATCGTTGCCAATTGTTGTAGCACTTAATCAAACGCCTTCTCAAACAACCACTTCTTTAGTCTCTTGCGGAATGTCATAAGGGAGGGCGCCTGTCTGATGTCTACAGGGAGGGTGTTCCACAGATGGCCATCCAGCCTGTTTAAAAGCCTACAGAGAGACTCCACCACCCTCTTAGGCAGCATATTCCACTCTCGGATAGCTCTTACCGATAGGAAGGTCTTCCTAATGTTTAGGTGGAATCTCTTTTCCTGCATTTTGACTCCCTTTGCTCGTGTCTTAGTCTCCAGAGCATCAGAAAACAAGCTTGTCCTCTTTTCAATGTGACGTCTTTTCAAATATTTAAACATGGTTTCCATCCTTCTTTTCTCCAAGCTAAACATACCCAGGTGTTGAAGCCATTCCTCATAGGGTATGGTTTCCAAACCTTTGATAATTTGGTTGTCTTTCTCTGGACACATGCCTGATAGTCAATGTTGTTGTTTATTCGTTCAGTCGCTTCCGACTCTTCATAACCTCATGGACCAGCCCACGCCAGAGCTCCCTGTTAGTTGGCCCCTCTTCCTTTTTCCTTCCTTTTTCCTCAACATCATTATCTTCTCCAAGCTTCCCTGTTTTCTCATTATGTGGCCAAAGTACTTAATCTTTGTCTCTAATATCCTTCCCTCCATTGAGCAGTCAATATCCTTCTTGAATTGCATTGCCTAGAATTGGACACAATATTCCAGATGAGGTTGATGAAAGTAGAACTGAGTGGGACTCTGACTTCCCTCGACCTGGACACTATACTATAGATACAGCCTAGGATTGCATTGGCTCTTTCAGCTGCTGCATTACTGTCGAGTCATTTTCAGCTTATGGACTACTAAGACTCCTAGATCCGTTTCATGTGTATTGTTTTCAAGACAGGTATCCCCCAACTTATATATGTGCATTTCATTTCTATTGCCAACGTGTAGTAGTGTACAGTGAAATTCATTTTGCTGTTCTATACATGTTCTATAGTAACCACCTCCATGAAAAGGGACCTCTATCCAGCACTGTTGTTTTGAAATCTGTGTAATTCCGAAATCCTTAATAACAGTGGTTCTCAACCTGTGAGTCCCCAGGTGTTTTAGTCTATAACTCCCATAAATCCTAGCCAGTTTACCAGCTGTTAGGGTTTCTGGGAGTTGAAGGCCAAAACATCTGGGGATCCACAGGTTAAGAATCACTGCTTTATAGCTAAGGGCCCATCTACACTGTCATATAAAATCCAGATTATTTGCTTTGAACTGGATTATATGGCAGTGTAGACTCACATAATCCAGTTCAGAGCAGATAACATGGATTATCTACTTTGAACATCTGGATTTTATGACAAAATTCAGCCTATATAACACAATTACCATTGGGCACATTAGGGGTCTTGGTGGTATGAAAATAATGAATTATGAAAGGTGGGCATGATTCTTGGGATTCTTAAGAAGAAGACTGTAAAACAGCTGGACTGAGACGAAGCTCCCTTCCTGCCCAGCACTCATCTATAGAGTCATTCAAACTGTTAATTAAAAGCTTGACTGAGCAGATAGGGCGTATGCTGCCCCTTCCTGTCTTGCCAAATCTGGCATGTTGGCAGGATGCCACTGGGAAATGCGTGCCAGCAATTGGCCCGCATTCTGCGGAGAGGTTCTATGCGCCAGGCCTCCAAAACCCTCTCCACCTTCTCTCCTTCAATCTTCGAAAGCGTTTGACACATACTGCTGGGTAGCAGAGATGCTTTTCCGAGAAGTGCTGCATACTAGTTGAGGCTACAGAGGTCTATGTGAAGGTCATGTGCATCGATCACAGCATATTCAGCATATGGGGAGGGGATGGTGTGACAGTGGTGTCCATTTCTGACCCAGAAATTCTTGTGAAACAATGACCTACCTCCCCCTACTCCCTCATTATTTACTCCTCCAAAATTATGGGAACTTGGCAGCTCCTAAGAGTACCCCATATTTTTTATTATTTTTCATGAGAGTATATACACATTACTTAAGTTGATTTCCCCCTCTTCTTCATTTTCTTTCTTTCTTTTTTTCATTGCAGAAGCACTTCTTGAACAAGCCATGACTGGCCTAGCGCCAAACCCACTGATCCTGTCCTACCTGAAATATGCCATCAGTTCCCAGGTAATAATCCCATGGTAGGGACTTTCATCTTCGGAGGACATAAATAGATGTTCGTGGGATGAATCATTACTTTCACTTGGATAATTTATGTATACTTTAAAAAAAATCTTACAGAACCCAGATCTAAGCAATAGCAGGATGTTCTTGTTCTTTTCCCTTTTTTTGTAATACTGGACTGATTCAGCTCGTTTTTCTTCATGTACATGCCTCAAAAGCAGTTTTCTTTATAAAATGTCTTTCATTTTGGTTTTGCTACATCATGGGAAATAGACTGCGTTAAGCACTGAACCTCTAATCTTAGTCTTTTGAGATGTCCAAAAACATTGCCTGATTGATTTTAAGTGTAACTTAAATAACAGGCATGTTTGGCGGGGACGAGAGACAGGGCCTTCTCAGTGATTGCCCCCAAGTTATGGAATTCCCTTCCTGGTAATATTAGATCAGCCACTTCCCTTCTGTCTTGTCCTTCGGAAGGATGGTGAAGACCTGGCTGTGGTTTCAAGACTTTGGGGCAATGCAATGAGGCAATAATAGAATGGTGTCCTGAGATGGTTTTTAAGCAACTGATTTTAAAGTGATTTTAATTTTTGTATATATTTATGGTTTTATGTCCTGGCATTGAATGTTTGCCATATATATGTTGTGCTCTACCCTGAATACCCTTCGGGGTGAGAAGGACGGAGTATAAATGTTTTAAATAAATAAATAAACAAATAAATAACTTTACATCCATAAGAAATCTCAGGAAGCAATATTCTGCGCTCCTGGTGATTTGTGCAGTGATAACTGCTTTTCTTATTATTTGGCCAGTTTTGTTGTGGAGTTCTTCAATCCATTGGATGACCTGGAAATTGCAACAAGCAATTTTGTGGCTAGCTGATAAAATCAAAATAAGCAATGAAATTAAAATGATTCTTGAAGGGTTCTTGTAGTTCTTTTCCGTGCTATATGGCCATGTTCTAGAGGCATTTTCTCCTGACATTTCGCCTGCATCTATGGCAAGCATTCTCAGAGGTTGTGTCTTGGAACAATTTCTCCTCGTAGAGATGTTCAATGTATTGTCGAAGGCTATCATGGAATCACTGGGTTGTTGTAGGTTGTTGTGGCCGTATAGCCCAGAAAAACCTACAACAACCCAGTGATTCCGGCCATGAAAGCCTTCGACAATACAGTGATTCTTGAAGGACTTGCTCAGTGGTTTGAGTTTTGGACTGCGGTTCTGAGATCAGGGTTCAATTCCTTGTTTGGTCATGGAAACACACTAGGTAACCCTGGACAAGTTGCATTCTCTCATCCTCAAAAAACCCTTGTGATAGGTTCACCTAAGGGTCACCATATGTTGGAAATTAAGGGAAGGCACACAACAACAACCACAACAACATGTCAATTTATGTAGTGCGTCCAAAGTGAGAAAGACAAGTAGCATCCCCCTTCTATTGCTGAAAGTGTACCGTGATTTTTTTCCAAAATCATACAACAGAGAGAATCTTTTTTGGATGCTTTTTAACCTTTTGTTTCTTGAGTTGCTCACTACAAAGTTGATGTGAAGCAAATATGCCATCACCTAAAAATGTCTGTTTAAATTTGTGCCAGACCAGTGCTCGAGCAACAAGCTGCGACGCTGTTAAGTGACCTTGTCGCCCCCCATGGCGGTTGAAATGGCAGGGCTTGTTTGTGGGTTTGGAAATTTTTTTCAAAAAAAATCTTAGCATTTGCTAGTAACCACTTGTCTCCCTTTCTCTTGTTTTGGTTACAGATGGTGTCGTCCTCTAGTGTTCTGATGGCCATCAGCAAGGTAACATTCAGAGACTTCTTTCTGCAACTTCAGCCATCATTTTCCTTTCTAATATCCTCACATAAGAGTGATCAGTTTGCGTTCAAGGACCAAAGGATCCTCAGCCCCTCAAAAAAAAGTCTCAAAAGTCTAGCAGCTTTTGCAAATTTAGGAGAATGTCTGGTTTATCTTAAAGTCATGGCAAGTTTCAGTTTTCATAGTAGTGTTTAAAAGATATTTTTAAAAATATCGATGCCTGAAGCCTGAAAACTGCCTAAACATGAACACTTGGAAATGTTTTCCAAACATTAAAACTGAACATTTGTGAGGAAAAGGTACTTTTTTTCACTTGTTATTCTTGTTCCTGTTTTCCTACTCCTCTTTTCCCATCACCTTTTATTAACTCGTCACAAAGAGAAAAATTATATACCCCATAGATCTGAATAAAAGTAATTAATCTATATATATATATGAATGCTCTATTCGTTTTGAGTTACATCATAACTCAAAATCCGCTGGACGGATTGCCGCCAAATTTGGCCACAAGACGCATACTAAGCCAAGGAGTGACCATCATGCAAAAAATAAATAAAATGATTTTGTCATTTGGGAGTTGTAGTTGCTGGGATTTATAATTCACCTACAATCAAAGAGCATTCTGAACTCCACCAACAATGGAATTGAACCAAGCTTGGCACAGAAGACTCCCATGACCAACAAAAAAGACTAAAAGGATTTTGTGGGCACGGACCTTGAGTTTTGGAGTTGTAGTTCACCTACATCCAGAGAGCACTGTGGACTCAAACAATGAAGGATCTAGACCAAACTTGGTACGAATACTCCATATGCCCAATTACGAAAACGGAGTTTGGGGGAAGTAGATGTTGACATTTGGGAGTTGTAGTTACTGTGATTTATAGTTCACCTACAACCAAAGATCATTCTGAACCCCATCAATGACAGAATTGGGTCAAAGTTCCTACATAGAACCCACATGATGAACAGAAAATCCTGTGTTTTCTGGTGGTCTTTGGTGACCCCTCTGACATCCCCTCACAACCCCCCCCCCCAGGGGTCCCGACCCCCAGGCTAAGAAATGCTGCCTTAAGGCCTCCAGTCCAACTCCCTTCACCAGGGCAAGAAAACATAATCAAAGCCCTTCTGACAAAGAGCCATCCAGCCATAGATATAGATAGATATATGATTCACACACACAAATATATATGTATATGACAGATATAGTATCATAGATTTGAAAGGGACCACACTAAAGAAGGATAATTATGTGTTGCATGTTCCAGAGTAAACAAACCTGACAAAGAAAAAAAAAACACTCTTTACCCAATAGCAAAAAGAAATTACATATATTAGAAACCAGCACTTTCTCATTACTTTATTTTCCAGATCACTAGACTGGGTCACAGCAACACGTGGCAGGGGACCGCTAGTTAAAACTAAAATATGTTATTGTTCATTGTTATTGTTTATTGTTTATTTTTGTTTTGAGATTTATTTTATTGTTTTGTATTGCTTACTGCCTTCGTTTTATTGATGTACTGTGGGCTTGGCTGCACTGAGTCCCTTGGGGAGATGGTAGCGAGGTACAAATAAAGTTTTATTATTAATATATTATATATACAGCCCCTGATGGTGCAACGGGTTAAAGCGCTGAGCTGCTGAACTTGCTGACCGATAGGTTGACTGTCCGATCTAGGGAGTGGGGTGAGCTCCCGCGGTTAACCCCAGCTTCTGCCAACCTAGCAAATGCAAATGTGAATAGATCAATAGGTACTGTTTTGGTGGGAAGGTAACARCGCTCCATGCAGTCATGTCGGTCACATGACCTTGTCTACAGACAGCGCCGGCTCTTAGGCTTAGAAATGGAGATGAGCCCCCCCCCCCCCCCCTTGGACCCAACTAGACTTAATGTCAAGGAGACGCCTTTACCTTTTAAAACACAGAAACATCAATTAGCCCTGCTTATTCCCATAGTGATGGGGTGGGCACTTGCATGGGTACTAAAACCCATTTCCTCTTTGCTGAATGGAAGATTTGCAAGTACCACCTTTCAGGGCTCTTGCTTATCCCAAAGCATTAACAGAAAAAAAGAGCTCCATATCATTGTTCAGATATAAAAGCTGAGTTCACTCCCTCTAGAGTCACATCCCATGGTAATTTTGAGATCCCTTCAAGCTGGCTTTTCAAAATATCTTTTACTAATGTGTTTCCAGCCCTCCCGTCTAAACATTGGCTGGGGGAAAATTGGCAAGAAATGGCCAACAACAATCCAGATGTTTCCCATAGGGTGAAGAATAGAGTACATTTCCTCTAACCCTTCCCTGTGAAGTTGCTTTTGACAGCTGCTAAAGAATTTACAAGACAGGCTTACTTCAAACTTACGTGCCACAGGGGACAGGGGACAAAGCTGTTCATAATGAACTAATCCGTGTGTATCTTTCCCCTGCAATGAGATTTCACACCAAGGACATTCAGAATCACTTTTGGATAGTATTAATTGAGAGCTAAGGTAAGAGGTAAACAAGATGAAGGTGCTGTTGGTTGGTGACACGGTGGATTTGAGAAATATTATCCAGCCTTCTTGGGAACAGATTTTTAACTTCAGGTTGCTCTTAACTCTAGCCTTCCCTTTCCCTCTTGAGTGGCACCTATAATGCAAAGCTTCCTTTGCCAATGGATTAACAAGCTTTAGTTCCTTGTAGGTAATAATAATAATAGTAATCATCATCATCACCATAAACTTTATTTATACCCCGCCACCATCTCCCCAAGGGACTCCTTGTAGGTAATAATAATAATAATAATAATAATAATAATAATAATAATAATCTTTATTTATACCCCACCACCATCTCCCCAAGGAACTCCTTGTAGGTAATAATAATAATAATAATAATAATAATAAACTTTATTTATACCCCTCCACAATCTCCCCAAGGGACTCAGAGCTTACATGAGGCCAAGCCCAACAACACATGAATAAAAACGAAAAGGAATAAACAAAAAACAATATATACAATACAATTAATATAAACCACATATATACAATAACTAATAAACAGTAACACACAAGGATTTAAAAACCTGTAGATAATACCATGTCAGTTTTTTTAAAAAAAATATATCAATATTTTAATATTTTTGTGTTTTTCCTCATTTCTCTTGAGCTCACATCTCTTGATTTTGTCTTGCTTCTCTCAGTTTGATGACTTCTCCCGAAGCTTCTGTGTTCAGGCGTTGCTGGGAATTATGGACATGTTCTGTGATCGGCTCAGGTAAGGACTGACCATTATGTTGAGTAGGGGAAGGAGGGAGGTGACAGCATGCCATACATTAGGAAGGACAGATGGTAGACCATGCCAGCCAATGAAAAACTACACACCTTTTTGCTGGGATTCTCTTACTCTCTCTCTCCACTCCCCCCCCCCCCAAATTTCTCCATATTACAACAAAACATAGAAAAACCAGCCAAGACAGAGGTTCTCCTGGTCAGTCGCACGAGCTGTGCCCGTACCTTGGGAAGTCAGACTTGGCCACGGTGGTCCACATTCTGGTTACATTGAGAATAGACTACTGCAACACACTCTACGTGGGGTTGCCTTTGAAGACTGTACGAAAGCTTCAAGTAGTCCAATGAGTGGCAGCCAGATTTTTCACTGCTGCATGGTACAGGGAGCACACAACTACCCTGTTGTGTCAGGTCCACTATTTATTTATTTATTTAAAACATTTATATTCCGCCCTTCTCACCCCGAAGGGGACTCAAGGCGGAGCACAGCATATATATGGCAACATTCAATGCCGGGACACAAATTCATATACGCATACATAAACATTAAAAACATTTATCTCAATATTAAAATACACCATTTAAAACCGTCGTAGTCATCTGTGTCAAATCTAATTGGCCTGGTCATCTTTCTCATTGCTGCTTTATTGCCCTGTCCCGAAAGCTTGGTCCCACAGCCAAGTTTTTACCATCCTTCTAAAGGACAGGAGGGCGGGGGCTGACCTGATCTCACCAGGAAGGGAGTTCCATAGCCGGGGAGCAATCACTGAGAAGGCCCTGTCTCTCGTCCCCACCAATCGCGCCTGTGATAATGGCGGGACGGAAAGCACGGCCTCCCCAGAGGATCTTAATCTCCGTGATGGTTCATAGGGGGAGATGCGTTCGAAGAGTTAAATTGGGCCGGGGCCGTTTAGGGCTTTATACGCCAAAGCAAGCATTTTGAATTGTGCCCGGTAGCAAACATTCAGCCAGTGGAGCTGGCGTAACAGGGAGTTGTATGTTCCCTGTATGCCGCCCCAGTTATTAATCTGGCTGTCTCTTGTTGGACGATTTGAAGCTTCCGAGCAGTCTTCAAAGGCAACCCCACGTAGAGTGCATTGCACTAGTCTATCCTAGATGTAACGAGAGCGTGGACCACCGTGGCCAAGTCTGACTTCCCAAGGAACGGGCACAGCTGCCAATCTGCTACCAAGCACAACTCAAAGTGTTGGCCTTAGCCTATAAAGCCCTAATCAGTTCTCTCCCAGCTTACCTGTCCAAACGTATCTCCCTCTATGAACCATCTCAGAGGTTTAGATCTTCTGGGGAGGCCCTGCTCTCGGTCCCACCTCCTTCTCATATGCGGTTGGTGGGGACGAGAGACAGAGCCTTCTCAGTGGTGGCCCCTCAGCTATGGAACTCCTTCTCTAATGAGGTCAGATCAGCCTCCTCCTTCCTGACATTCAGGAACAGGCTAAAAACGTGGTAGGATCAAGTGTGCAGTGACACGTAATAGTGCAATGACAATTTGGAAAGGTCACAGATTACCATTTTGGTTAATGCGGTTTTCACAAGTGTTTTAAGATTGATATTTTAAATGTTTTTTTAACATATTTGTTTATTTGTTTTTGTGAACGTTTCTTAACATGGCATTGAATCGCTGCCATATATGTAAGCTGCCTTACATATATGGCAACGCTTTTCTGTATGGGGTTGAGAAAGGCGGGGAATAAATAGGGTAATTAATTAATTAATTAATTAATTGAAATAACATGAAAACTACAATATGAGGTTATAAGTATATAAACATGCCACAATAAGCTGAATAAGTTGAGTATATTTTAGCAAAATACCTGACTGTATCATAAGCTTGTATATTATGAGGAAATCTAGACATGATGACCATGTTAAAAATTTTCTTAGAACCTGCTACAACTCAGATGAATTAAATGATACTTAGTCTAATTGAGTGGGTGAAACAGCCATTTGTGCATATCGTAGTATGGAATCCTTGCATTTCTAGCACATAGTCATCCTTGTACACTGGCATGGTACCAGATCAGAACTTGTTACACATGCTTTGGGTGGTGTTGTCTATTGTGGCTTGTACAGCATGTCCTCTTTTTGGGTCTTATGGACAGTGAAAATGACATAGGATTTGGGATCCCAGACATGGCTGCCATGGTGCATGATCTTCTTTCCACACTGTTTCAGAACTTCTCTGGTTGGTAGAGCTGGGCTTTAGCACAGCAGGTTAATCACCAAGCCGCAATAAATCTTGCCAACAGGAAGGTTGAGAGTTTGAGGTCTGAGTCAGGGTGAGCTCCTGACCTTGGGCCCAGCTTCTGCCTACCTAGCAGTTCGAAAACAAATGTGAGTAGATAAATAGGAACTGCAGGAAGATATTTAGGCTTTGCCCTTCGATCAGAAAATGGTGGAAGTTTAGAAAGAAAGAAAGATTTTCAGCAGGGAGATGGAGCGACAGTATCCCTGGGTGGCTGGAACTGAGCACAGCCTCCAAAGATGCTGAAAGATGGGAAAGCCTATATATATACCTCTATCTGTTGTCTGTCTTGTTATTGTTATAGTCGGCATTGAAAATTTGCCATAAATGTGTTCTGTGATCCACCCTGAGTCTCCTTCGGGATGAGAAGTGCGGAATATAAATACTGCAAATAAATAAATTAATAAATAATAGAGGTCTTTTATAAGTTGCTGAAGAACAACCTTCTTTCCTTATCAATTTTTGTAAATAATTTGGGTTTATTTATGTAGCAGGATGGCAGATGCTCATGATGTGATCTGGGTTGTAACTTGCTGTACAGAATCTGCCAATAATAATAATAATAGTAATAATAATAATAATAATAATCTTTAGTTATAACCCGCCGCCATCACCCCAATGGGGACTTGGAGCGGCTTACATGAGGCCAAGCCCAGACAACATATGACAACAAAATAAAACCAAAAACATAAGCAACAAGCAACAGCATCATAATTACATAAAAACATATGAATACAACATACCAGTGTTTCTCAACCTGGGGGTCGGGACCCCTGTGGGGATTGTGAGGGGGTGTCAGAGGGGTCGCCAAAGACCATCAGAAAACATGGTATTTTCTGTTGGTCATGGGGATTCTGTGTGGAAAATTTGGTCCAATTCTATCGTTGGTGGGGTTCAGAATGCTATTTCATTGTGGGTGAACTATAAATCCCAACAACTACAACTCTCAAATGGCAAGGTCTATTTTCTCCAAACTGTACCAGTGTTCACATTTGGGCATATTGAATATTTGTGCCAAGTTTGATCCAGATCCATCATTGCTCGAGTCCATGGTGTTCTCTGGATGTAGGTGAACTACAACTCCAAAAACTCAAGGTCAGTGTCCACCAGACCTTCCCAGTGTTTTCTCTTGGTCATGGGAATTCTGTGTGCCAAGTTTGATTCAATTCCATTATTGGTGGAGTTCAGAAGGTCTTTGATTTTAGGTGAACTATAAATCTCAGCAACTCCAGCATTACCAAATGACAAAATCAATCACTCCCAACCCCACCAATATTCAAATTTGAGGGTATCAGGTATTTGTGCCAAATTTGATCCAGTGACTGAAAATACATCCTGCATATCAGATATTTACATTACGATTCATAACAGTACCAAAATTACAGTTATGAAGAAGCAATGAAAATAATGTTATGGTTGGGGGTCATCACAACATGACGACCTGTACTAAGGGGTCGCGGCATTAGGAAGGTTGAGAACCACTGCAATATACCAATGTGCCAAGTATACCATCAGACACTTTGGTGTTTTTCAGGCAGCTTGATGGATCTGAGTAAGTAGTGAGAATTTTTATTAAAAGTGATACAGCTTTGCAATGTCCCCCCCCCCCCCCCGATGTAAGAGTATATAATCAGTGTCATTTAATACATATTACTTGTGCCTTAACCGTTAAGAGATCCTTGGTATGAACCAGGAGTGTAGCTGAAAGGTGTCAAATCAGAATATTATGCCCCAAATAAGATTTCTGCTTTGAATGAAATGTTCTTCAAGTCTCCACATTTCTGGCATTGGAGAGTGAGACATTTAAAATTATTAACATCTATAAACTCTTACATTTGCAGTCTTTGCATTTTCTTAGTTATTCTTTGCTGCCCTTTTTCTTTGGAAACCTAAATTGTATTTCTAAAAGATCAACTGAATAATTAAATTACTGCAATGCTAAAATGTGGAACAAAAGTAAAACCACAGGTGAGATAGAATTCATCTTGGGAACCCCTGTAGCTAGACTTCTGCTATGCACGTCTTCATTATAAATTGTAAAGTCACGAGTGAACAAAGAATTTCTACTAAAAGGGAAAAAAGTGGATCACACATTAATGAAATTGGTGCCCTCCAGACATAAAGACACAGCTAATATCTAAAAGCATATGGATTACCTAACCAGTGGAATAAATTGAGGTCAGTGTCTAGGACCCTACTGCTGAGCAGGGCCAACAAATGGCCTCAGAGCATCACATGTGATGGCGCTGTAACAAACATGTTCAGCATCTAGGCAGAGGACATCCCTGCTTACTGCAGTTCCTCTTATTCATAAACACATTATATAGCCAGAAGCAACATGCTGGGCATAAAGATGATTGCAGATGCTCATTTTATTATTGTTGCTTTCAATATGTAGTATCCTTTTTAACAACATTGTGGTGTTTTATTATCAAGTATATGTTTACTATCAAGGCCACAGAAGCAAACTTTTTGTTATTTCTGTAGTCATAGTGGTGCTGTAATATAAATTGGTTTAAAAAGTGCAACTGCAAGATGCTCAAAATATCCTTTAAATCAAGGTTGGCAAACTGTACTTCGACAGATTGGGAATATAAAAACAGTTCTAAAGCATGTGGTGATGGTGGTGGGTAGAAGAGGAAAATGCTAGTTGTATGCTTCCCAGAGCAAGGAATTCGTATGGCTATCTAAAGCAGGGGTGGAGATCTTTTTGCCTCCCAAAT